AGGAATATGAAATGTTTCTCCAACCCAGTGGCAGTTTGTTGCAGACAAAAACAATATTTAAAATAAGGCGACTCATTCTCTGATCAATGTCATTTCAATCCTAACTCTGTCATTCCTATGCAGGCAGGCCTGTAGCCAAGGGGCTTCTGGTGGTTCTGAAGACCCACCCCTCACTGATAAAGGTCCAGTATTTGTCACATACATGAGCTCATTTGTCCTGTTTCGACTGTTATGCCATTATAAGTAATCAAAATAACCCATCAAAAAGCCTTTAAGACCAAGAGGAATCTGGTGCAAGCAAAGTCAGCTTTTATATTAATACTTATAAAGCTATTGTTGTTATCCATGAATTTTCAAATGTACTTGTTTACAAGAAAAGCTGGAAAAATTAAGCTTTACATTATTGTTATTATTTTTATTTTTTTTATTTTTCATTCAAATGGACAAATTCTGAGACTGAGGAAAGTTGAATGTGATGGCCAGTTTTTTATTTGCCTAATAAATGACAATAGGCCACATTTTTAAATGTAAAATTTCAATAGATTGCTTTTTTTCCCCTAGTGATATATCATAAAGTAGCCCCAAAACAAGTAGGCTAGCCTCTTCATGTTTCTTTATTCTAAATCTTTAGGCCTACATCAAACAGTGTGACCATCTGAAAAGCTAATCTAGCAAAGAAAAGGTGCTTAAAACATCACTAAAATGCAGTATTTAAATCTCATAATTAAATAGAAAATTCGTTGAATAACTGTGAATAACTGCGAAAATGTCCAGAAAGAAAAAAGAACCACCTTTTTCACTATCCAGGCTGTGGATCTGCTATATGGAGTGATGCTGTGTAGGGTGTTCTGCGGAACCGGTGACTTCACAATCACTTCTGTGCTAATAACTGTGAAAGTGCGCCATCTAGTGGATCAACAAGAAAACGACTGCTTTAGAGCTTAGTTTACCAGCTGACGGGCGACTAATTTGAGGTACAAAAAAAGATACTTACTAAATTATAATAAACGTTAACCCCTTAAACACGGTCACACTTGTATACATTTACTTGCAAGAGCCAAATGAGATCCTGCTACGTTTGTGCTTATGAAGTTGATTTATGGAAAATGTTTAGAAAACAAACAAATTCACAGCGTTGATAAGCTACCCTATTCTGCTAATTTATGTATCGTTAGACCTGGCATAACCTAAAGCTAATACTACAGAAGATTTACTTACTTGTGAAACAGTTTTATTAGAGCCATACATTTAAGAAACCACTGTTTCAAATTTGCTAACATTTCATGCTAACAAACATAAGCATTGTCTGCGTCATACTAATACGCGTATTGTTGCTGTTATAACGAAATATAAATAGCCCCACATTATTTTAGATCACAAATAAGAAAATTATTGCCCATCTAAGTTTATTGAATCAGTTCTGAAAACTCTTGACCGTATGTGAGCATATAGGCCTAGACCAGGGGTGCCAAAACCAACTTGATTGTGGGTTGTAGGTCGAAGGTACATATAGCAGCCATGGTTAATTTCCTAATTTATTTAATATTATACAAATAATTAGAAAACCTTTTAAATTAACTATATGCTTTGTAATAACTATCAGTTATTAATTTTCTTTTCAGCTAAGCCCCTTTATTAATCTGGGGTCGCCACAGCGGAATGAACCGCCAACTTCTCCAGCATATGATTTACGCAGTGGATGCCCTTCTAGCCGCAGCCCATCACTGGGCAACATCCATAAACACTCATTAACTACAGACAATTTAGCTTACCCAATTGACCTATAATTACATGTCTTTGGACTTGTGGGGGAAACCGGAGCACCCGGAGGAAGCCCACACAAACATGGGGAGAACATGCAAATTCCACAAAGAAATGCCCACTGACCCAGTCGGGGCTCGAACCAGCGAACTTCTTGCTGTGAGGCGATTTTGCTACCCACTGCGCCACCTTGCTGCCTTTAGATTAACTAATACAGAATATATATATTTTTTACATTTTATAATGAACTTAGTAAAAATAATCTCATTAATGACAGAATGGAGTTACACTATTTTGCCTTGGTTTACTCGCTGATGTCTTCTCCATAGTCCCTTATCTGTCCAGTGACATTATTTACAGTTTTGAAAATCTGATTTACCTACAACATTTTTTTTTCTGTAGTTCAGCAATAAAAACAAACAAACCAAAAAAAAAAAAAAAAAGAGTTACGTCAAATTAGAAATGATGATCTTTTTTTTAAGTCATTCGTCCCAACCCTCTCCCCTTTTCTCAGATGGGATGGGAAGCCAAAATCTAAGGTTGCAATGGGCCAACTTTGGCCAATGGGCCCTACTTTGGGCATCCCTGGCCTAGACTTGTGAAAATTAACCATGGAAATACCCAAACAGTAGAATATTTGTTGTAAAACTGTAGCCTGCAAATGGTAATCAATGTTAAGCAAATTAATGCTTTCTTCTTACTGTAATAAAACTATGGTTAATTTACAGTTGAAACCAGAAGTTAACATGCACTGTATTGACCTTATTCTCCGCAGATGAGTGGGCGCTGCCATTTGAATCTTTTTGGCACGAGACTTCTGGTCTCATTAACTTCCATTCATTTTTAGACATTAAAAACTGCTCGTTTCGCTGTTTGATGTTGTAAACTGATATTTCCTTGTTTATTTATTTATTTGTATGATTATTCTACTTGGTCTGTATAGTCATGCAAACATTTGTTTGTAGAGCAAGTAGTTTGACCGTTTTTTGCCGTTTATTATTCCTTGTCATTTCTCCCATAGGCGACTGAAACGGAAGTTCTAAGACAATCGCGAAAACAGGCGCACTTCCGCATTTTAGAATAAAAAGGCACATAACCATTTAAAAAAAAAAGTCAGATGTTATTGTGACTAAACTTTTTCTTTTTCAGGTAAGTTAAGATTATCAAATGTGTTTCTGTTATGCTTAATAGCAGAATAATGAGAGAGATATTTTTTTGAGAAATTGTTATAACTTTTCTTGAAAGTCAATGTTACATACCATAGGATTATTATACATCTGAAAAAGCTCAGATGATGGTGTCAAGGTTTGAGAAGTTTCTGATTGGCTAACTGACAACATTTGAGTTAATCGGAGGCACAACTGTAGAATAGTATTTAAGGAAAACCTCAAACACACTGCTTACTTATGTGACAACATGGGAAAATCAACAAGACAGAATCCATAAAAAATAAATAAAAAAAAAAACAGATTTCAATTTGCTAAATTACACTAGGGGGAAAAGAATAATATTTGGTGATATGTCCTGGGGTCTGATGGAACCAAGATTAAAATGTTTGGCCATAATGACCAGTGTTACATTTGGAGGACAAAGGGGAAAGCTTACAAGCCTAGGAACACCATCCCAACTGTGAAGTATGGGGGCAGCAGCATCATGTTGTAAGGCTGTTTTGCTGCAGGAGGGACTGGTCCACTTCACAGCATAGATGGCATCATGAAGAAAGAACAATATGTAGAAACACTGAAGCAACATCTCAAGACATCAGAAATTAAAACTTGGCCACAAATGGGTCTTCTAAACAGACCATGACTCTAAGCATACTGCCAAATTAGTTAAAATGTGCTTTAAGGACAACAGAGTGAATGTTTTGGAGTGGCCATCACAAAGCCCTGATCTCAATCCTATAGAAAATTTGTGGGCAGAGTTGAAAAAGCTTGTGTGAGCAATCTGACTCAGTTACACCAATTCTGTCAGGGGGAATGGGCCAAAATTCCTTCAAACTTTTGTGAGAAGCTTGTGGAAGGATACCCAAAACATTTGACCAAAGTTATACAGTTTAAAAGCAAAGTTAAAAAATTACCAAGGAAATGTTTGTAAACTCTCTCATTATTCTGGCATTTAGCAAATGTAAATCATTTAGGTAATCCTAACGGACCTAAAATAGTAAATGTTTAGTATGATTTACCATTAGACTTTTTTTTAGATATTTAAACTTCTGGTTTCAACTGTATATAGGGGGATCATTTTAAGAATGAAACCTTTCACAAGAAATTGACCTACCATGGTTAAAGGGATAGTTTGGTTTACTCAGTCTTTTTTCAAACTGTTTAGGACTTTTTTTTTTTACTTCTGTTAAACACAAAAGAAGATTTTGAATAAAGCTGGAAACCTGTAATAATTGACTTCCGTAATATTTGTTTTTCCTATGGAAGTCAACAGGTTTTCAGGTTTCTTCAAAATATCTTCTTGAGTGTTCAACAGATGAAAGAAACTCACCAAGGTTTGGATTGGAACCACTTGAGGCGTGTAAATTGAGAGAATAGTGAGATGTTTTGGGTGAACTACCCGTTTTCAGATATGTTAGTGTAGCAAAATGACTGTGAATGATTTGTGTTTTCTAATAGCCATACTTTTGTTTTGATTTTTATTTCTAGCTAAACTAGGGTTCATTTTCGAAAGGCTATTATTGTGCTGTCGCCACAGGTATTTATAGGCAGATATGAATTAATACACAAAATGTTGCTGGATTTATGTTGTCCAGAACTTTGCTTTTGACAGCACATTGCCATTTCATTATTAGTCAGCACTAATTCGACCTGTTAAAGTAATTTTTCTGTCTCCTGAATGATATATGAGTGTGCAGGGTCCAGTTCTTAACAAATATTACACATGTACAGACCTGCAATTTTACAGCTTTAGTGTAATTTCTGTGCTTGTTTATGTGTGCATACGTGCACGTTTGTGTGCGTGTATGCGTGTGTGCGTGCATGATAAGAATGTGAACCCTCAGCAGAATGACTCAGGTAGGCTGCCAACTCAGCCTTAGTGACATTTGCGCAACTCAGATCAAGCAAACTCCACCTCAATCTCACACACAGAGAAAACACATGAATGAGCTGCATGTGGAGCCGTAAAGTGTGAATGGCATTTATAACAGATGCATTATTTCAGTTAAAGATGAACTCCCCTTCTCTTTCTCCACCGTTCTGTCTTTTCTTTCTTAGGGTCATGGATGGGAAAGTAAACAGACGGGGGGATATTTAAAGCACCAGTGGGGAAGGACACAGCTCTAGCTCCATTCAATGCAAATTCGCTTCTCTCTGTCAATGAGTCACTATTGTCACCTTAATTAACCAGGAGAGCTGAGAAAACACAGGTGAACTTTGACATTTTGTCTTTAGCAGGGCGTTTACATACAATTTATTTGCGTAATGAAACGTTACTTCATACACTCTAACAATAAGAATTAGCAAGACCTTATTGACAAGGCTAGAAAAGATGTGGTATTTAAACTAAAATGTAGCATGCATATTCATCATTTAATAGACTAAATTATAATGCAATGGAGTAATATAGACTATTTTAAAGTTTGGGGTTGGTTAGTTCTTATTAACAGACATGCTCATCAGATTTGCATTAATTTGAGCAAAAATACAGTAAAAACAGTAATACCGTAAAATATTACAAATTAGATTCATTTATTCATGCACTCAAAGGAGTGTTGGTTGTTCAAACTACTTATTTAAAATGAACAACAACAATGCTTGAATTTTTTTTTTTTTTTTTGGAGACAACTTAATTGTTTTATGTTCACACCACTTAAATTTCCCTACAAAAATGTGTGGAACAGCATTTTTCACAGTGTGTGTGTTTGAAATGCAGGATTTTCAGCATCATCATTCCAGTCTTTAGTGTCATATGATATATAAGAAATCAAATCATTCTGATGTATTGATTTGCTGCTCTAGAATCAGTTCTTGTTTCTTAATATTTGTGGCGAAACTGTATACATTTTAAAACTAAAAATAAATGCCACTGATATGATAAGATTTGATTATATGTAAAGGTCTGTTGCCCCCTTATATATATATATATATATATATATATATATATATATATATATATATATATATATATATATATATATATATATAATTGAATAACTGCGAATAATTGAATTGAATATAATTTTTTTATGTGTTTGTCTCACTTTAATACTTCAGATCATTAAACAAATGTAAATAATAGTAAACAAATAACACAAGAAAACATGTCAGGCAGTTTTAAAATGAAGGTTTTTATTAATAAGGTAAACAAAATTAATAAACGGAAAATTTAATTAATAAAGGGAAAAATAAATTAATTTAATAAACTGGAAAAATCAAGGGAAACATAAAAGCCTTAAGGGTTATAAAGCTTGGTTTTTACACTACTGTTCAAATGTGTGTGTTTTTTAATACATTGATCCTTTTATGCAGCGAAGATGGATTATATTGAATGTCTTTAATTCATGATTGTATGTAAGATTCCTATTTTATTGCTTTTTAAAAGCTTTTTATTTATCCTAAATATGTATTATGATTTACACACATAAAAAAAAAATATATATATATATATGTTTGAAAAACGATGTAGTTTGTATTGAGTAAAATTTTAATAAACTGAAAAAATCAAGAGAAACATAAAAGCCCTAAGGGTTATAAAGCTTGGTTTTTACACTACTGTTCAAATGTATTTGTTTTTTTAATATGTTGATTATTCTATGCAGCGAAGATGGATTGTATTGAATGTCATAAATTCATAATTGTATGTGATTCCTATTTTAATGCTTTTTAGCTTTTTATTCATCCTAAAAATGAATCATGATTTCCACACAAAAAAAATAAATAAAATAAATAATAGTCAAACATAACGCATGTAAGCACGTCATTTCGTTTTTTAAATGAAGACTTTTATTAATAAGGGAAAACAAAATCCAAAACCGTATAGCCCTGTGTGCAAAAGTTTTGTTTTTTATTAAATAATATTTTAATAAACTGGAAAAACAATTTAGTTCAAATCTTGTATTTTTCGATGTTAGGCGACAAAATTTTTATTTTAATGGATATAATTGTTTAATGTATATTTTTAATTTTTTAATATTAAAGTGCACCAAATATATTGGCTACATTCACTAAGAAATGGATAATTATTAGCCCCCCTAAATTATTAGCTCCCCTTTAATAACTTATTTCTAATAACTGATTTATTTTATCTTTGCCGTGATGACAGTAAATAATATTTGCCTAGATATTTTTCAAGACACTTCTATACAGCTTAAAGTGACATTTAAAGGCTTAACTAGGTTAATTAGATTAACTGGGCAGGTTAAGGTAATTAGGAAAGTTATTGTATAACGATAATTTGTTCTATAGACTATGAAAAAAATAATAATAATTTAAAGGGGCTAATAATTTTGACCTTAAAATGGTCTTTAAAAAATTAAAAACTACTTTTATTCTAGCCGAAATAAAACAAATAAGACTTAATATTTGTTCATTTGTATGTTTTTGTTTCTTTGCTTTTTTGTATTTTTAACATATTTTTCCCTTCTCTCTCTGTTTCTATCAACAGTGATCGCTTTCTCGCTGCCAGTAATTTATAAGATGTGACCTTTGTCCTTTGTTTATGGGCAGTAAGTACATTAACTGTTTATAAATTATTTATTCATTCATTTCATTTAACACTAACTTCTTACAAGGAGTCCCAATGCAAATGAACAGAGCCAACCCTTTAATAAAAAAAACCTTGTCCATTTATCCCAAACAACATGTTCATGGCTATTTACAAGGTTTTCCTGATTCGGTTTCACACTAATCAACATTCAGCCCGCACTAGAATTTTGTATATTGTTTTTGTATACATTCTCATACATCATGGTTAACAGATAAAGCATCTGACGGAGATAACACTATCACACGTGCGATTTGTCAAGCCAGTTGTCAGGTGTAGTAATGGCTTCACTCACTGGAGGAGGCACTGAAGAGCAGAGCTGAAAGCAGATCATTTGCTGTAGTTCATCAGAATATGCTTTCACGCATGCGTGTAGTCTGTGCTTGCATTCTTTGTCTGTTATGGATGTGGAGAGTTCCTGACCGTAGGGTTTCTGACCGCACTGCTGATATCCAGACTTCCTCTGGAGGATCTGTATGTCTGTTTTCTGCTTGAGAATGGAGATCACTTACACGCACACACATATATACGCACACACACACACACACATATGTCTCTTCACTCTCTCTTTATCAAGCACACACACACAGAAATGTGAATGCATTCATCTGGGAAAAACCTGGACATGATCTATTGCAGTAATATATCACAAACATCAAAGGCCATACAGACAGAATGGTTACAACTCGTAATAAAATGACATTTTATTAAAGTTTTAAATTATGTTTAAATATAAACACAATGAGCCTTGTGAGGATTTTTTTCTTCCCATGTTATGCCCTCAAAAGCCCTAAAGGTTATATGAGGCTTGGTTTTTACATTACTATTTAAATGTTTGTTTGTTTGTTTGTTTGTTTGTTTGTTTGTTTGTTTGTATATATTGATTATTTTCCGGTAAAAATGGAGTATATTAACATGTAAATAATTCATAATTGTATGCAAGATTTTATTGCCTTTTCAGCTTTTTATTTATCTTCAAGATGTATCATGATTTCCACAAAAATATTAAGCATCTCAACAATTTTCAGCAGCAAAATAATTTTATATAAATATTTTCTCCAGCATGAACGCATTCAATTAGAGGATTTCTGCAGGAATATGTGAAAATAAAGACTGGAATAATGGAACAAGAAATGTAAGAAATAAATTACATACTAAATAGACTGTAATAAAACATATTATTTAAAATTGTAACTATATTTTACGATATCAATTATATTTTTACTCTATTATTTAAATTTTTACATTATTATTATTATTATTATTATTATTAAATAAATGCAGCCTTGGTGGACATAAGAAACATATATAATATTGCATTTCCCATTTTTTTGGACAACAGTGTAGATTTAAAAATATGTTGTTGTTGTTACTGTTGTTGTTTTATTAATTCTGGTATTATGAAAAAAAAAAGAATTAAATATCATATTTGAAAAGATGCAAGGCTGAGTTACCAAAGACTACTTAGTGTGTCGAAGAATATAAAATTAAATCAGTAATTTAAGAAAAACTACATTTAAGAAAAAAAAAGATCATAGCAATGTGTAGATGCTTTCACAAGCTCTGCAATTACACACTAATAAAGTGTAAAGTCATGTTTATTTGACAATTTGTACGTTAAATGCATTTGCATTATTAAATAAAAAAAAATGCTTAGAATAACTGTTTAGTTTTCTTTAACAAAGCAGCTTTTCTGTGTTTGTTTCACTTGCAGATGTTTGACCTCGACAGACTGACTAAACAGAGTAAATGAGTCAAAGGAGATATCCCAATCAAAGAAGGCGGAGCTTCAGGACCACACCTACCTGTTACATCATCACTGTGGACAAATGGTGGATCAGGAGTGTTCTCCAGCTGATAAGTCTGCACAGTTATTTCAATCTTCACTTAATCCAAAAATTAGTACCAACTTTGGTCAATTATTTGATTTTATTTCAAGTATATCAGTGCTTTAGTTCACCCAAAAATGTAGTTGTGTCAATATTTACTGGTCCTTGTTTTAAACATGAGTTTCTTTTTTTCTGGTGAGCAAAAAAGAAGATATTTTGAAAAAAGCTCTAAATTGATTTTTCATAATATTTTCTTCCTACTATGGATTTCAATGGCTACCAGTATCCCAACATTTTTCAATATATCTTCTTTTGTGTTGAGTTAAAAAAACAAAACTGGTGAGTACATTTAAAGTTTTTGAGGGAACTATCCTTTTAATGATGTCACATGGCACTTATAGGTCCAACATTTGACATATCAAATGCTACAAGCAAACATGAAATGATTGTGCTGTCATGCTACCAAAATATAAGTTTAAATCACTTCAATATGTGATTGACATGTTCGTTCAATATGTGGTCATTATGGCCTCACCCTGTACATAGAGAATGCATGATAGTCCATTCAAAGGTAAAAGCAAAAATGAAACATGAAAAGCTATTTAAGTAGCCTGAATATTGATAGCAGCTCCCTGTTGTGTGTACTTTATATTCAATAGGATAACACTGATATGATGTCATTGATGGTCAATGCAATTATATTGACCTTATTGCTAGTCAATATTTTAACGTTCTTTCCAAATTTAAGTATTGTTGGAAACCTTAAGGATAATGAAAGTACCAAAATCACAGTCACCAAAATGTATAACATTGTGTTTTTACGACATTATAACAATAAATTTGAATTCATTTATTTTTTTCTGTTGAATACAAAATAACATATTTTGAACACTTTTGGACACCAGTAGCCACTGACATCCTTAGAAGGAAAAGTACTATGGAAGTTCGTGGCTGTGGGTTTTCAATACTCTTTGTGCTATATTTTTAACAAGTGATTAGTTTACTACACGGGTGAGTAAATCCTTGCTTTCAAGGTGATAAGCTGACTTTAATTTTAAATAGGGTAAACGTTTTGTCTTAAGACTATTGAGTTAAAACAAACTATGGGGATAATTATAAAATTTCTCAAACAAATATTTTAACAAATATTTGCGCTTAACAAACGAAATTAATTATTTATAGACTAATTGATGTCTGTGCGTAAAGGTTTCCCTATCCAAGAGCAAAAGTGAAAGTAGATCGATTATCTCTCATTCTTGCGCAGTAGATGCTCTGTTTAACTGTTTTCTGTTAAAAAAAAAAAAAAAACTGTTAACTGTTTGCTTGTGAAATGCTCAGTTTTTCCACTTCCACTTACTTTACGTCCGGTAAATAGCAAATGCGCTTATGGCGCGACACAGCTGGCTCTTAAAGGGAATGGGAGATGAGACTCTGATTGGTTTATTCTCAAAACACACCTTTGACTCATTAAGAAAATAAACTCAACCCTTTTAGACCATGCGCCACGGCGCAAAGCGGATTTTCCCGTCCTTAAATTAGCAAATATTTGTTCTGACACGCCCTGAAAACGTTTGCACCCTGCTTTTTGCGCTTTGCGCATGGACCTTCAAAATAGAGCCTGAAAAGTCTCTTTTTTCAAATGTCCTGACCTTAAAATAGGATCCAAATCCCAGTGATTTTGAGGCCCACCGCAACGTGACGAGTGTGGTTTTTTCCACCCACTGAATTGGTTGACAGCTGCCATGTGTCCATAATAACATGACCACAGTACGTATTTGCAAAGAAACTGGGATTAAAACAAATGTTACAAGTCTCTGTGATCAGCTGCACCTCAACATTGAATTTTATAAGTTTAAAACGTTTATAAAACAGAGCATTTTTGTAATGAAGAGAGTAAAATCACTACGTAATTCTTAACTGCTATAATCACCATGGCTGCACAATGTCAGTAAACGCACATGCTTGTGTGTGTGTGTACTGCAAACAGCGTTTGTTTGAGACTCATCATTTCAGAAAGTCTTGAAAAGACTTTATTGCAAATACATCAAATAAACTTAGGGTGCTTTCACACCTACACTTTTGTTTCGGAACGTATCTCGTTTGCCCAGTTAGCGCGGTTCGATTGGCATATGTGAACAGGGCAATCGCGCTCTGTTCCGCGCCAAAGTAATCGCTCCGAGATCGCTTGAGTGAGGTGGTCTCGGCTCGATTGAAACGGACCCTGGAACGGTTCGATTGCAGTGAGAAAGCGATCCGATCCGAGCGCGGTTATATCACAGTGTTTTATGGATATGTAATAGGCTTACGGCTATATGAAGAGAGAATTATGAGAAGGGCGGGAAGTTTCGCGAGTCTCCGGATGCCCGCAAACGAGTGATGATCTCCCGGTAATCTCGCGTCTCTCTCCCAGTCCTCAAATAGGCATCGTCGCGCACCCTTCTCACCCCTCCTCACCGTGTCTCTCCTCAGACACGTCGCGCGCACCCTGTCAATCACCACCAAACCACCACCTCTCCTGACAGCTGAGCGGGACGCTGCAAAATAAACCCTGACACTCTGACCAATGTAAGGAGAGTTTACTCACACGTGACTTGTTTTAGCTCTTTTGGTCCGATTAGAAACTTTGCAGTGTGAAAGCGAACCGCTCCAAGAGCAAAGAGCAACAATGTAACAATTGTAATCTCTGTTTCGGAACAACTGAATCGATTCACAGGTGTGAAAGCACCCTTACTTGGTATTTTTGACTAATGAGCTGTGTTTAAGCTTCATCCGTGTCTATTTCTATCACTGACGGCTGTTTATCTGACGTAATGCAGGAGACACATGTCGGATCGGTGGGTGGGGAGAAGCAGCTCATTTGGATTTAAAGGCACAGGCTACAAAAACCGCTACATAGTCCTCGGACAGCAAAATGGGCAGATTCTACATTATATAATAAATAGTCTAATGGGTATTTTCAGCTGAAACTTTACAGACACAAGTCCTATCTTACATCTTGTAAAATGTGCCCTTTAAGGCTACTGGTTTACTCGCTTATTTTTAAGTAAAGAAACAAATAGCTTATTGCAGTGTAGGTTTTTTTTAATCAGCTGCTTGTAAACTGGTGTGTGTGTGTGTGTGTGTGTGTGTGTGTGTGTGTGTGTGTGTGTGTGTGTGTGTGTGTGTGTGTGCGTGTGTGTGTGTAGGTAGTTGAGTTAAATGGTGTGTTTAAGTTGTTTTTTATGGTGCCTCAGGGAGAGATATTTCACACCCTATTTAACCGTTCATTACAGCCAGTCACTACACAGGCAAAAATGTTCAGGCTTAGGACAATTATGCAGCGAAAAAGAGCTTCAGCACATAAAGCAGAACAAAGAGGTTCCTGAAACTAATGATCATCAGATAAATGAGCTTAACCGTTTACACTGCTCAACTTCATACATTTTTTGCCCTCTTACAGTCAACATCTATTATTTCTATGCATTATGCAATCTTGCGAGACTTTGGTTTGCGTGGTGAATGGTAACAGAGCTATTCTTGGTGAGCTCATTGTTAAAGTCCTCTTACCTCACTGCTAGAGACTCCATCTCTCCTCTTAAAATGGCTTTGGTTCTGTTTGCTGGAGTCTGCTTTCCTTCTTGTCATTCAGTTGCGATAGATAACTCGAGTTATCAGAATGCTCAGAGAACGGAAACCTCAATAGTTTCTCACAGCATTTAAGCAGTGTTTAACACATTCTCATTTACCCAGTGTGATTTATCTATGTTGTTTTGTCGCAATAATATATGCTTGTTTAATTACATATATTCTTATATGTGTATAAAGCTGATTGTACAGTATATGCTTCTTAGATTACTTTTTATTAGAGATGCCTGCACAATAAATCAATACCATACATGTTATCTGAGAATATTAGAGACAATATTATAATATAGACAACGGGAATTGGATGATAATGGATGTTGTTGTCTAAAGCAAACTTTAAAAAGAATAATAAGTTATTAACATTAGAGCCACATGTCATTGGAAAAATCTAGCATTGTGATATTGTTTTTTTATTTTGGAATATACAGTTGAAGGTCCCCTGAATTATTAGCCCCCCTGTTTATTTTTTTTGCCCCAATTTCTGTCTAACGTTGAGAAGATTTTTTTCAACACATCTCTAATCATAATAGTTTTAATAACTCATTTCTATTAACTGATTTATTTTATCTTTGCCATGATGATAATATTTTACTAGATATTTTTCAAGACACTTCTATACAGCTTAAAGTGACATTTAAAGGCTTAACTAGGTTAATTAGGTTGACTAGGCAGGTTAGGGTAATTAGGCAAGTTAGTCTACCGAACAAACCATTGTTATACAATATCGAAAAAAAAATATATAGCTTAAAGGGGCTAATAAAAAGGTTTATAAAAATTAAAAACTGTTTTCATTGTAGCCGAAATAAAACAAAAAAGACTTTCTCCAGAAGAAAAAATATTATCGGACATACTGAGAAAATTTCCTGGCTCTGTTAAACATAATTTGGATTTTTTTTTTTTTTTTTAATAAATTCAAAGATGGTTTAATAATTCTGATCTCAACAGTAAATGCTTCTCAGATTATTATTATTTTTTGTATATTAGAGATGCCTGCACAATAAATCAATACCATACATGCCATCCATCACACAATATTAGAGACAATATTATAATATAGACTACGAGTATTGGATGATAACGGATGTTGTCATTATCTAAAGCAAACTTTAAAAAGAGTAATAATTTAACATTAGGGCTGTGTGATATTGGAAAAATTTTGCATTGCAATATTTTTTTATATTCCGATATATATAGCAATGTGAATACTATTTCACCAGATAACTTGAATATCTCTATATGAAAAGATTTTATAATGTTATGGTGGTTATAATGGCAGTTTGAGATGGTTCTACAGTAGGAGTGAATCTCCATAAAATCCAACAAACAATCTATAAACTTTTTGGGGTCTACCCAGACACATTTTCGATGTGGTCTGCTACTTGCAGTGCATTTTTGTATTTGCATGTGTTGTGAGTATTCTTATGCATAACAGTCTATAAATACAGTCAAGAAAAAGATACAGTTAAAAAAGAGTTTTATGGTTTCCCTAGTCTAACAGTATTTAAGTCCAGTAACTGAATGATAAAAATAATTCATTAAAATTCAGAATTTCTAAAGTTACAAATGGTATAATTGATTATGCCTGAATGCCTTTAAGGTCATCATACAATCACAGGCATCAAAAATGCATGCAAAATGATAAATTATAATCCAGACTCAACATTGCAAATGCTCAAGATGTGACTATAGATCACATTGCGATATCAATGCCTAAACGAGATACTGTGCAGCCCTAATTAACATTATTCTTAAATGTGATTTCAAATGCCGTAATTAAATATTTTAGATGCCTACATTCAATGTAGTAATTAAAATTATTTATTTTATTTTTGCTATTAATGTTTAAATGTATTTTTTTCCCCAAATGTTTTTAATCAAAGTTTTTTTAGACATAATCATAGGAGGATTTTTTTCCAAATTCTTTCTGGACCAAACTTTTTACTTTGACAAGTTGTTGTGAAGATACTTAAGTTTCTGTTTGATATGAGCTTTATTTAAAAAATGGTTATTTGTGTAGTAACACCATGGCATTCATTTATACATACATATTACACATTCCCTCAATAACTATACAGTACATTTTTAGTTCTGCATTCTTCGCATTGCAGAAATTATAGGTACACACATAAACAATATATTTTATGTGATTGAAATTTTTTATATATATAAAATGTATGGTAACATATGTTATTTTATGTATGTTACCAACACTTATTGGTATTTCATGAACCATTTATATTGAAACATTCATCATTCAAATGAAGTTTGTAGTGTTCAACTTTAAAAACATTCTCATTTATTTTAATTATATTCAATATGCATCCTAAAAAAAACTATAGACTGACTTTGTTTACATTCCTTTAGTCATGTTGGTCAAATATGACAATCCTGTCTGCTACAGTGGTGAATGGTTCACGAATTGTGGTTAAAAACATGGAGTTTTAAAGGAGGCTAGTGGTACTTTATAGAGACTGCATACTTCATATTCATTCATAATCATATCTATTCACTCCTACGTCCGGTATACACAGGCTTATCTCCTTCAAGTGATTCTGGCTGATTGCGTTAGGAAAATGAAGAAAGAAATGAATGCAGCTTTTGTTGCAGACCAGAAGACTAGGTGAAACCGAGAACCACGTTACATTTTTATGACTGAACAAATGTGATGTTTGACCTTGCATAGAC